GGGAAAGAAGGCATTTCCTTTCTGTTCTAACTGGTCCAAAGGCAGGAGTATGAGTGAACTGAATAAACAGCTTAGTTGACACATTGTATGGCATGAATTCTAACTACAGGAAGCATTTGCTTGGCTACTTTAGTAGCTATATATTTGCTTTGGGGGGAATTTGTTGGTGGAGGAATAATTAAGGGACTTTCAAATGATGCAGTTTTGAGTTGCAGCAAAAAGGAAAAGTGAAATTATCTTAATTAGCATTGTTTGGTTGGGTTTTTTTTAATGTTTATGATACTTCTAACTACAGAAGTTCTGAACAGCAGAAGCCCTCAGCGCCATCTTTTGGCAAAAGAACTTTTATATAAAATCTTTAAGAACTTCTTTAGTTCCTGTTTGCAGAAGTATTTACGTATCAGAAGAACAGAACCTTCCAAAACAGAGTTTTCCTCTTCAAATGGAAGAAGTGGAACATAAAGTGTTTTAACTTGTCTTGATTTAATAAAAACATTTTTACCCTACATATAAATCCTTTACTGTATTGAATTTAAAAAAAAATCTCAGTATTTTTTAGGACAAGACTGGTTAAATTAATTTCATTTAACTGTTTAAAAATTACTGGAATTAAAATAGCTTAATATTTTTAGTCTTACAAATATTACAATTTTAAACATGTAACTGGCCTGAAAGAGCAAGTGACTAATACGTAAAGTAAGGTTGTTTTAAATGTTACAGCCTTTTACTACTGCTTTTCCTGCACTGTTGCTATCTTCCTACCATGAGACTGGTCTCTAATCAGTCAGGTTGTTCAGCATCACTGCAACCAGTACAATTGTAGGCAGACAGTGCGATTTTTCAGTTTTTAAAACTCCTTTCTGCAGGAGTTTTATCAAGATTTAAATGACTACTCTGGCAGAGAGTAAACACAGCATGACTGAAATTTGTAGTGCTAAAAGCTAGCAAGAGCTTCCAGGGATTTCTGCACAGCAAAATTGCGGTTTTGCCAATAAATAAGGCTTTATTCTTTCACTTCTGAAGAGGTTAGAGGCTGATTTCCATGCTCTAAATCTGTGTAATTCTTTACGGTTTTACTGATGAAGAAATTACTCTAAATCACAAGGTAGATCTGTATAGAAATCTCATTTACAGTGAAACTGCTGATTATATCTACATTTTAAGTAATTGTAAGATATTTTAATGGGGAAAAGTAATTTTCTTTGGTGTCTTGTATAACTGTTCCATGGACCGCTTAGTTTTGTAGGTAATTAATAATTGTTCTTAGATAAATGAAGTGAAATTTAGTACATTTTTGTAAGAAGCTAGTTGCCTTCACATAAACCTGTATCAAAGTAATTTCATGTGAGACTTGCAAACGGAAAAGAAAAGATAACAATAATAAACCAATTTTGGAAAAGTGGGGGAAAATCTGAAGGTTGTGTAGGGGCTGGAGTTCTTGTGATTAGACTGTATTTCACTGTCCATTCATTGTATTGTTTTGATCAGAGATCTTTTAGTCCTTTAAGCATATTGTCATGGTTTAAGCCCAGCTGGTAACTCAGAACCACGCAGCTGCTCGCTCACTCCCCTCTTTCTTCCTCTCCACTCCCCTTTGGGCGGGATGGGGAGGAGAATCAAAAGAATGTAAACCCCACAGGTTGAGAGAAGAGCAGTCTGGTAACCAAGGTATAATACAAACCACTGCTGTTATCACCAATAATAATAATGATAATGGAAATAACAAGGGGAGAGGACACAACCCTTCATCCCCCACCGACCGATACCCAGCCCGACCCGAGCAGCGATCTGGGCCTTCTGGGTAACTCCCCCCAGTTTATGTACTGGGCATGACGTGCTGTGGTATGGAATACCCCTTTGGCCAGTTTGGGTCAGGTGTCCTGTCTCTGCTTCCTCCCAGCTTCTTGTGCACCTCCTCAGTTGCAGAGCATGAGAGACTGAACAGTCCTTGGTCGGAGTAAGCATTACTGAGCAACAACTAAAACGTCGGTGTGTTATCAGTATTAGATTATCTAATATTAGACTAAAGCCAAAACACAGCACTGCACCAGCTAATAAGAGCGAGAAAAATAACTGTTACAGCTGAAGCCGGGACATATATACATTTTGTATTTTATAGTACGTGACTTTTGAGAGACTGAATTTTTAGAGGCCAAAATTTAGGTTTACTGTGTTTAGCCTTTTAATTTTTCTAGCTTTTATAGGAAAAAGCTCACAGGACAAGTGGCACTGTAACAGTTTTCTGCAAGTTAACTTAGGCTGATTGAGATGAGCAAGTGAGGAAGTAGGCACTGGATTTCCATCCTTTTATTCCTTTCAGAACCGTAATGTCCATACATATACCTGGTACTGCACCTGTTGTGACCAACTGAACTGTACAGAAGTATTAACATGTACAATCTTTTTCTTTTACCTTGGAACTTTTGTTCACCTAAGATTGCTAGAGAGTAGATTCCTTGTGTTAGAAGTTTCTGATTACTGTCTTTGATTCACTGCAGTTGACAGTCTTAGGTTTGTGTTTTCATGTTAGCCTAAAAAGTTTCCCTATCACCTACTATAGCTATGGTATCTAAAGCTACAAAGGTAAGGTGTCTCCTAGCCTGTGGCAGGTTTTCAGTGCTGGTTTTATCTTTCCCCTGTGTAGATTGTAGAAAATGGTTTCCCCCCTACCCCATCCTTGCTGTTATCCCTGTCGTGGTTTAAGCCCAGCCGGCAACTTGGAACCACGCAGTCGCTCGCTCACTCCCCCCCTTTTCCTTCCTCCCCCCGCTCCCGGAGGGATGGGGAGGAGAATCGAAGGAATGTAACTCCCACGAGTTGAGATAACAGCTCTCCAGTAACTAAGGTATAATACAAACCACTACTGCTACCAATAATAATGATAAGAGGAATAACAAGGGAAAAGGACACAACCTCTCACCACCCGCCGACCGATACCCAGCCCGACCCGAGCAGCGATCTGGGCCTTCCGGGTGACTCCCCCCAGTTTCTATACTGGGCATGACGTGCTGTGGTATGGAATAGCCCTTTGGCCAGTTTGGGTCAGGTGTCCTGCCTCTGCTTCCTCCTGGCTTCCCCTCCTCCCTGGCAGAGCATGAGACTGAGAAAGTCCTTGGTCAGAGTAAACATTACTTAGCAACAACTAAAAACATCGGTGTTATCAGCATTGTTCCCAGACTGAAAGTCAAAAACACAGCACTGCACCAGCTACTAAGAAGGAGAAAAAATGACTGCTGTAGCTGAACCCAGGACAATCCCTCAGACTACATCTCTTCTAAGTGAAGTGGAAGTGGTGGGGAAGATGCTTATCAGAACAGCTGGGTTGACCTGAAGATTGTCAACATTGTTTCCCATTTCATCTTTCCTTTCATTTGAAGATCACTTCCAGCTAAACCCTTTCAAACTCCCTGGGTGCTGTGTGTTGAGGTCTGTGATCTGCCTTGTTTCCAAGCCCTAATACCCTGGCTTTTTGTGAATGAGGACATGTATTTCACCTGCCTGGATGGTACCCCAGGAGTCAGTGTTTAGGATCACAGCAAAACACACAAACTTTGGGTGAACTGCAAGCTGCAAAGTGCAGCACAATGCTGCCAAATACATCGAATACTAGTGGAACAGATCCAGGTTCACATAACTGCAAAGAAATTGCCTTCTGTTCACCTTCAGCTTGACTTTATATACCCTCATACAGGGTTTGCTTTTCAGAAATACTTGACTTGTGCTGAACAAATTAATTTCTGAAAAGGAGGAGTGATGGATTTCCTAGCATGTAGAAAGCATTTTGGGATCTGGTTTTTTTTCTTTCATCAGATAGTGACATTTGCCTTGCCATTACATTTTCTTATTTTGGGGAATATTGTTCCATTGTTTCTTAATACTGCCAGAGCAACCCAGTTCAACCTTTTCCAAATAGTATCTAAGCAGTCTATTTGTGAGAATTAATCCTTGTAGCCAACACTCTACATACAAGCTTTTCAAATTTGGGGCTGTTTGTGCCTTAATCACAGTAAGTCTGTTTTTACATAAAACAGAGGTGAAAGTAAAGGTCTTTTTATGGTTTTAATTTTAATCTTTAAGTTAAAACTAAATTTGTCTCCATTCAGGTTTTTTATGCTTTAAGAAAAACAAGAAGTAACTGACTTCTTAGCAGTGGTTCACTTGCTAAATCCTGTGCTGTTGACTTAGTGTGAAAGTCAGATTTGTGTTATTCAAAAACTATCTAGTATTTATTCTTTTAAAAAGTGTACTACAGCATAAACAGTGACAGATACTCTATTTTTCTTCATTCCTTTTATCAGATTTAGACATCTATGTTGTGTTCATGCCTATAATGCTTGGATTAGGCTATGAACACTCTCCAGAACTAGCTATGGCTCTCCAGTGGCCATAAGAATTGTCATAGGCAAACTTCACAGAATTACTCTTATATTTGTTTCTCATTGCTGTTTTTCTTCCTTCCCTGTGTTTCTTTTCTTAGCGTTAAAAACTCTTTAAAAAAAAAAAGTCATGAATCAACCACTTCTGATATATAGTTGGTTTAGTGATTCAGTTTTTTGTTATGCATTTTCTAATAAAACACTGATGATTTAATATTTAAGTTTTC